GGGAAGGGGGGGGAGTCAGAGCTCAGCGCTCCCAGGGCCCCTTTTCTTTAGTAAAAATCATCCCCAAACTTCCTAAAACCGAACCAAAACCCCCACACGCGTGTCCGCAGAGGCTCGGAGGAGGGGCTGGGCCCTGCTCCGCCTTCACAGGGCGGGGGTGTCAGAGCGAAAAAGCCGCTGCTTGAAAACCTTTCACTGCCCCTCAGGGGGACGAAGGCCGGGGAGGAGGAGGAGGCAGCTCCTCACAGCACAGCTGGGAGCTGCAGTTCTGGTCCCAGCTGCTAGAAATGGAACTTAGCGTTGTTTTTGCATCCTTAGGGTTAGAAGCAGAGTGTTGGGTTTAGTGTTGTTCTCACATCCTGGTGTTAGGAGCACGTTGTTGGGGTTTTTTTATCTATACCCCAGTGTTGGGGAACTAATAGTTTAAGAGAAGTGAGATCTCTGCACGTTCCAATGACACCTGGGGTGGTTTTATGGTCCAGGCAACTGAGGGACTGACTGGGGCTCCATCTGGGGGTCCCAGCACGGAGCAGGATCGATGGCCAAGGTCAGACCCAACAAAGCCCCTTCTGTCCTGCTCCTCGGGGCAGGAGGGCACTAGTGGGTGCAGATCACTGTGGGGAGTGAGAAGGCAGCCAAGGGGGCAGGAAAGGTCAGAATTAGACCTTAAAAGGTAAAAACTAAACTGCTAGAATGGAATGTGTGAACAAGGGGGGAACTTAGAGGATCATTAGAAGCATTGGATGGGCTGTAAACCCTGAAGTACCCAACCAGTGGGGAAACAGGGGAGGGAACTTTGGAAATAGGGAATATAAACCATTATTCACCTTTCTATGGGTGTGCCTGCTTGTTTAGGTCACCCGTTCTTGCAAGAGTGTAAATAAACTGTGCGTGGCTGAAGGATCCGTTTGGGCCTGTGCATTGGTGTGACAAATGTTTCTCACAGAGAGCACAAAAATGCTCTGAGGTGACACCCCCGAGTTGCTTCCCCTGCACCAAGAGCTGCTCCCCATGTTTCATGAAGTACTGACAAAAAAGATGCTCCATTCCAGCCAAAGGTTTCCTGCCAAGTAAATTGATCACTAAACAAGGTAGACAGTGATAAACTAACACATGTATTTGTAAAAAGTGCAATGTATTAATAAACGTTTTTATATATTTCGGTCTCAGTTAAGGCTATTACAACATGAACAGTTCTGTAAACCACACAGGAAATTGTCATAAAAACATTAACAAAAAATATTAAGGCAACACACATTGACCCACACGCACTGTTGGTCCCACAAGAGTCCATTGTAAGGCAGATGGGAAAAGGCACGGCAGCAGAATCAAGGGACTTGGGGTTTTTTTCTCCTGTACACACAACTCAGGCTTTTTACTCAACTTTTCATACTCTACGTTCATTGCAGGGTTTTAATTTAAAGTGAAGAATATTTGTTTTCAACAGCCTTGCTTAACCCTTACAGTACTGTACATTTCCAGGCTACCTTCCCAGCAGCCACTGCAGAGAACAAGTTCAGAGCCTTCAGAGGGTTAAAAGCTGCAAGTCAACGTCAAAAAAAGTCCAGACAATTGAAGTATTTCACTTCTCTAGACAGGGAATGTGAGAGTAAGGGTCCGAAAACCTCCGTTTTACTTTTGCTGTGGGTTCATATTCATCCAAGAGTTCCTGAGCGTGGGCCAGTGCAGACCCTTGTGCAATGTACACAGAGTGGATTTTGTCTGTTCGCCTCGCTGGCTGCTCCCTTCGTCTCACCACCATTTGAGACTCTTGGTTAGCTGAAATTCTGCCCTGGGATTCTGTACACTTGAAAATCCCAGGAGGCAGTTTTATATTTGCTGTTGGCATCACTGGAGTTCGACGGGGCACTTTAATCTTGGACAGTGTTAAAGATGATCTGCGTCTTGAAGCCAGGGATGCAGAGGAAGGATTCAAAGAGGTTTGCAAAAGAGAAGGCACTTTGCAAATGTCTTTGGCAGGCATATGGGAGCTCTGAGCACGGCAGTGTAACCCAATAGTTGCTTTAAAGAAACAAGATACTTAGATACTGAAAGCACAGGTAAAAATGTAACGTGACACAAGCAGCTGGGACCAGGTAGCACTTGGTCACCCGGCTGTGAAAGATGTAGAATAAAAAAAACACACGCTACCTTAATACTGACCTTCGGTATCCATCCGTCCTGTTCTGTCTTCAAGCAGACTCTCTGTGCTTGCTGAGGTCTCAGAGTCTACAATTTCCTCATCAGAGCCTCGTTGATCAAGCTCAGGTAACCGGTAAGTTATATCTTCCCTGCATCAAAACAGAGGTTGGAGCACTCGAGAAAGACAAAGTCTCTGATCTGAGCAACTCTGTGCAGCTCCTTTTCAGAGGCAAACCTTCCTGCACAGAGCCATCAAATAGTCATTCTCATGGTACTTTCAGCTAGTCCTTTGCATTTTCCTTTTCACCTTCATAAAGGCCTACAGGAGATAATTAACTAGAACATTCTGGACAAAAAAGTGAACTGCTTTACTATCTGTGTCACAACCTGCAGAGACAAAGGGTGACTTACTTTTCTTCCTTGATGGACTGTATGCGATCGATGAGAATCTCCTTCTCCCTGTTATCAGCTTCAGAAACTTCCTCTTCTTCATGCAGTGAGTCCAGCTCTGAGTTGCCACTGTCATTCCCTTTGACCTGTGAGCTTTTACTCTGCAAGACAAATTTATGTGTAACCCTACTCAGCCATAAGCAGCCAGACAAGTCTTGACTGTCTACTAGTTGCAAGGTGGAAGGCAAAGGAGTTCACCAAATGAAGGGCTGATGGAATTGACGAAGAGCTGTTAGTGATCCCTGCAAATGTATCAAAAGGTAACAGAAATCTTCCTGTTCACCCAGTTTCTGGGGGTTTGTTACCTTTTTTTTTTGAAGCATAGTAATTTGATTTGCCAGCCTCAGCTTGGGTGGTTTTAGTAGTCACTTGTCAGTAATATTATTACCTCCAACACAGTGTCAGAAAGCTTGACCGTGGTGACACGTCAGCAGCCCTGCATGCAGTCTGGGGGGAAAGTTGCACCAACACATGCAGCCTTGATTGTTCAAAAAAGGGTCCTTAAACCCAAGTTACAATACACAGAGTGAGTTTTTTTAGTCATGCAAAAGTACCATGAGAAACAAAACCAACCATGCACCCTGAACACAGGTGGTGTACATACCAGCATCCCCTCATAAGGGGAAGAAAACCCAAGTTTTACAGGCCAGAGCTAGAGAGAGATGAAGAGAAAATTCACTATATGCAGCTTCTGATCAGACAGAGTTTGGTTTGTTTCAAACAACACAACAAAAACCAAAAAAGTGTATTTGCAGCATATTTATGTCCACCATCTATCTCTGGAGTGAAGGAACTCCCTTGCTATGCAAGAGACTCAGCAATATTAGTTCTACTGACTGAATTACCTGCTAAGAGCTTTTAATCCTCACCCCTGAGCCCTTTATCAAATCCGAGCCCAGTACAGCTGTATATTTAGCTTTGGGCAAGTCCAAATCCCTTATCTGCTCCTCTTGCAATTGATCTTCCACTGACTGAATGGGGTGGACAGAATAAATAAGTAGCACATCCCTTCCCAAGAAACTGGTGGGATGTTTTCTGCTGGCCTGGGTGGTTCTGTGGTTTCTTCCAACGCGCACCGTGTTCTGCCGAAGCAACGAGAGGCGTCGGAAAGCGATGCTCTCGGCTGCTTCCAGCTGACTGATTTCATCCATTTTGATCTTGTACTTCCTTATCTGTTCCTTTATGAGCATCTCTACACACCTGGACAAAAGGGCAAGAGTTTATTGACCAGCAGAGTTTAGTACTAGAAAAGCTTTGGGGACAACCAAAGGCAGAATTTAGCAACT